GGGACGCCAAGCTGAAGAATCTGCCCCTGGTTGTGAAGCACCCGGTTACCGGGCTGCCGTGCATGCGCTGGCACCAGCCGTGGGACTCCACCAAGACCAAGTTCTCGACTTGCGCGGTCACGATCGAGAACGAGGAGCAGGGTCTCGTCTCGGTGGTTGACGACCTGACGTATGACTACCGTGTCTGTCTGCGGTTTTCGTGGGAGCAGGGTGATCTGCTGGTCAGTGATAACACGGCCATGCTGCATACCCGGACGGGGTACAAGACTGACTGTGATCGGGAGCTATGGAGAATCCACTTTGACTAGTGTTTAACTGACCTTGAAGCTTTGTGTCCGTTACTATAGTCCTTGCTTTTCTAGATCACAGAATTATCTTTGTTGATTCTCTTCAATTCATTCCCTTCTCGTTACATCAAGTTCTTATTGTATTAAGCAGTCAGGTAGGTTGTTCACATTCCTTAGGTATTAGAGTCAATTTCTGTAAAGTTCTACGGGCACCTCCTCATATCCGCCCTAGATTTGAGAAGCCAAATCTTTTTTGTAGTATAATACAACTACAACGATTGAATTCGAGTGCCAGATCTAGAACTGCCTAGTGCATAGACAGAATACAGAGGATGCTCTTAAACTGTAGAGGAGAAATGAGCCTCAGAAAAAGTATTATTTCAAATTCATACACAGAAAGTAACAAACACTCCAATACAGTCATTAGGGGCCGGGGCTTTGTTACACGATGTGTGGTCTATACTATATATCTCATCCGGCCAAATTCTCACAAACAACATCAATATAGACACGGAAAGAAACATGTTTGAAACATAGGTCATAGCATCATGGACTGAAAACTGTCCAACGATGGCGACTGGGAGGAATGCAGCGGACAGAATGAAGTCGACGACGGCGTGTTCATCCATTCTCCCGATGTCCCTAGGTCAGAGGATTTGGAACCACGGTCATGTCTCAAGCAGTGACATCCTGGATTTTGCAAGTTCCCGTTCAAAGCGTTTCTGAGGCCTGTGGGGTCTGCCGCGTTTGCTCCTGTGAATGGTACTGGGGAATATCCATGCGGTATCAGGATGATCGCCTTGGGATGGGAGGTTGCACTACCCAATGTTTGCATAATATGCGGTAGGGAGGTCTCTGGAGCAAAACACAGTGGTTAGTCAATTGTCCGTTGGTATTGGGACAGTGACTCTCACCTGTGGCTACATAGTAGTGTGGGCAATGTGGATATTGTTGGGAGCCTGGAGGGTCAGGATATTGAGGGTAGCTGAATTCATTCGGAGTGTGAAGCCCCGTGGTACTTAAAGATGGGTCTAAGCTGAAAAGACTGAGCTGAGACGAGGAGGGTGAGTTCAAGAGAGTAGAGGGTGATGAGTTGGCGGAGTCAACCCCGTTGGCGAGACCAATGTCAAACGGCAGAGCTGAAGGTGGGGAGGGTAGAGAGGACGAACCGGGCATCTGGTTAAGTAGACTGCAGCATGAACGACAAAGACTAGATGAAGCGTTCCGTTGGGAGGCACTCGAGACTGCTGGATCTTCCGAAGCAGAAGCCAACGGGCTGCTATCAAAGTCACCTTGCGGCTTGGATTCCATCATCGACGCAGCTGAAGGACTCGCTTGGTCCCATCCATTCAGACTTGCAACGGCTCTGAGCTCGCTGGCGATAACACGCTCTTGGAGTTTGGCGATCCTGTCCCGGATCTTGCGGCCTGTTGACCGGTAAGCAAATGGATGAGGAGAATAGCACTAAGAAGACACAGGATCCACTGACGATGGTTCCTCTGGGATAGCCGATTTTGAAGTCTTCTGCGCTCAATAGCGTCTTGCTTCTCGTTTGAGGAGTCATCTTTGGGCTGCTCGTCTTTTGTGGTCTGTGAATGCATGGCTGGCTGATGATGGCCTTCTGATCTTGTATGTTTCGTTCCTTGCCTTGAGAAGGGATCTTTCGAAGAGACAAGTTTCGAGGCAGGATAACATGGAATTAGCCACGAGGTTTCTATACAGGCGGACCTATGTTGAACAAGCACCGCCCTCTAGACCTGCTGCTCAGAATTACGAGGATTACGCAGGAAGCCTCAGCATTCAGCGATGATCAGCCGCTCTAAGTTTATCATCAAAAGGATCAAGGACTTCCCTGCCGTTACTGCATTGATTTATAGCTGCCTGTCAAAATTTAGCTGACGCACCTATTGAGTTTCAATGCGAGCCGGCGCATGTGGTCGACAAGCCAACACTAGTCATTCTGGAAGTAAGACGCTCCTGGGGTCTTAGATGTTGTAAAATGTTAGGAGCGATCATTGGCTCGGTAGGTTATCGTAATGCAAAACGGGGCGGTTCAGGTGAAGTTTGGCATTACCTCATCCTTTTACTGGACGAGTCATATTGACCATATTAATATCAGCAGCCAAGGCTAGTCAGGACGGCAGCCTGTAATGCACTGCGGAGCTAATGAAGTTGAGGGACCGTGAGGCCACGCGAGTTCGTAATTCCAATGCAACTTCGTTCCCTTGTGGATCACAGCCTTAACTAGTGCGATGGCATTGTACCCCGTAGTGCACTGCATATCTGGGGTCTGATGGTCGACCATTGTACACCCCGTAAGTAATGATGTCTATGAATGCGTCGTGGGGATGCTCCGATCGAGCCTGGTGGTGGCGCATGAACATCAGACCAGCGTCCCTCGTCTTTGCTTGAAGGTTGTCGGGAAGATCTTGCTTCCTCATTTCAATATGGCCGGTTCGAGGCCGCTAATCGGACGAGATGGCGCCCTTCTCGGCCTGGACCGAGAAGTCAATGATCCTGTGGTCTTCATTGAGCGATGCATCCTTGAGAACTGTCCACATGACTGTATGTCATACAGAGCACCTCTGGGAACCCGCCACATAAGCCTTCAGCAGCTCGCAAGAGAGGGAGCACTGAGTGAATACGATAATTGAATCGCAAAGGTCCAAGCCTCTCCCAAGGCTGATCGTGTTGCACAGAGAATGGTCGGAGTAGAAACACTCAATCTGACATCATCTGTGGGAGAGTGTCTGGGATATTGTAATGGGGGGCAAAGTTAACGATGAGGGTGGCCTAATTCACTTGAGTTTGCCGTCAAATTACCTCGTATACACAAGGCTCGGTTCAAAAAATATTGGTCAAGCTGGGAAATCMAGATCCATGCGGTGGCCAGGCAACAGTGCCAGGACCGAGGACTATCAAAAGTCCGAGGCCTTGAACAGCCCAAATGGGACGCCCTACAACGTTTTCTGACAAGGTTCACCCGTGTTCAAGATCAGCCAATTACCGCAGCAAGCAGGCAATCTGCCGTCAGCTAAATCCTCTCGTTCGTTCGTTTATGATTTGACCAATTGGCCAGTCGAATACACGAGACGCGTCAGAAGGTTGACGGGAATCCGAAATCAATGGCTTGAAGCATGAGCCATACTGGTGAAGGAATACCTCTGTAGAACTCTCTCCTCCGGGAGTCCGTCGCTTCCCGATAGTAAAGCTGGATAAGATTGCGGGGATCTGCCCAGTATAGATACAAGTAATCGGTCGAGGCTTGAACAGCTCAGACTGCAATCGAGCTTGGCAGTGGAACACGAATCTGCGTGAGGGACACTCGTGTCACCAGCTGATGAGGAGGAGCGGATACGAATACGTCGCTGACAAGCCAATCTGAAGAAGTGGTGAAGGAGCCTGGCTTGGAATTGTACCTCACCTTAGTTCTCGTAGCTGCCTGTGATCCTTTGGCCGTTCTGAAAACCTCGAAGTGAATAGTAGATATTTAGTGATGTGTATGAGACGGATTCAAGGGAAGTAGTATTATGGGTGGTATGATATGTGTGTATTTAACGCTGAGATGAGAGCGAGAGTTGAGCCACCTGAAGACGGGACAAAGGATCTTACAGGGGCGTTCAGGCAGCCATATTTGCCTGTGGCACCAATCGCTTATTTCTGACCTGACTTTTTTCAGCCTCAATCTTGACTTCTCTTCGTCTGCTTTGCTAGCCGTTAAAGAGTGGCAGTGTCTTCTAATCAATCGGCAACTGTTCCTAGTGTGTAAACGGTCACTTCATTACCATCTGTAAACTCTGATACTACGAGACGACATGCAGGCAATCCTTGAGACTGTCACTAATCTGCTCCCATATCATCTGCTCTCATATGGAGCTCTTCTGGGGACAGAACTCTTTCAGGTGAGAGCGCAGTACGCCCTCCCGATGATGAATTCGAGTTGACACCTCGTCCTTGTCAGAGCTTTGTCAACACTAAAGTCTGCTACCAAGCCCTTCCTATGAAAGAGTTTCTCGCTCTCCAGAAACGCATTTTCCCAGCCTACTTTCGCTGTCAAGTAGGGTTGGTTGTATTGACTGCGGTTACTCGTCCGCCTTATAGCATACTCTCTTTCTCGCGACATATATGGGACTCTGTTCCCTTAATCGTGGTAGGGGTTACCGGGGCCCTGAATTGGCTCGTTTTTGGTCCACGGGCCACAAAGACTGCTTTCATTAGGAGGGCGCTTCACGGTAGGCTTCGAGTTATTGTCTGTAGTCTCACTGAGTGGTAGCTGACTCTGCAATAGAAAGTGCCATGAATCAAGATAATCCTACTGCGACGGATCCCGCGAAGCTTCAACAGGCAAACAAAGCATTTTCCCGCAATCATGCCATGTCAATCCATCTGAATGCAATTTCCCTTGTTGCAACCGTTTGGTATGGGTTTTCATTGTCGTCAAGCCTTCTGAATGGGCTGTAATCCAATGGCTTCCGTAAGGCAGGTGATCTCTTAGAAGGTCTCCTGTCAGGGTTGATTTAGCTACACGAGTGGAATTTGTATATACTTGACGAAGCATGAATGCAACAATCTCAACTCGTACTATATCTAAAGATCTCAACAATATTGCAGTTTGAAAGTCAGCAGGAAAAATAAGCAAGATTCCGTGACAATCCATTGTGACACTAAGTATAGGAAATCTATCTTGGCCTCAAATAAACAAATATCAAAGAATCACTCTTGCAGCCGCAGTTCTAGGATAGTTCCCGATTCAGGCCCACCGTCTGGCGTTTTCCAAATCCTCTCCAACACCAACTTGGGACTGACCATCTGGAACAAATGGTTCCACTGCTCCAAAGTCCTCTCCTTCCCATTCATAGCGACGAGCATGTAGAGATCAAGAATGTTAAAGAACCGGGAACTCTCCGGACCCAAGAAGCTGGGAACAATCGCATCGTCAATGAGGATCCGCGACTTTCCCGGCTCCATTGCATCCACGATGTTCGACAAGATCTTCGCACAGCGACTAGGACCGTTAGCTTCACCCTTCTTTCATTGACAGCATCAACTAACCTGTCCGGATGATCATGCAGGATGAACCGCAAGAGATACACATCCGCCCCCTTGACCGGCTGCTCATTGAAGAAATCATGCGGCATGAACTCGATCCGATCTTTGACTGCTTTGGGGACACCTTCCGCCTGACCAGCCTCTAGCATGGACGCGTCGTCCTGCACGACGAAATCCAAGCCAGGGACCTTCTCTGCGATGCGTACACTGACATGGCCCCGGCCGCCTCCAACGTCCACCACCTTTGCGCCCTGCGGGAGAGACTCGAAGGGGAACATATCCTCCGTGAGAGTTTTCATGATCTCGCTGCCTGCCATACCGAGGGCGAAGCGTTGGCCGCGAGCGAGATCCTCGGTGTAGAAGTAGTCGAAAAGGCCCTTGTTTGCTACGAGGGATTAGCACAGTGCCATGACTTTGGGATATACGGGTATACTCACTTTTGAAGGCAAGGCTAAAGGCCGAGTTTTCTGGATCGTCACTTCCCTTCCAATCAGTCTTCTTGAGGGACTCGGCGAAATGGGCTGCGATGCGCAGTCCATCGTCACAGCTAGCGGTGTCAGTTCAATCGTCTAATTTACGGACGACGCCTACTCACGCATGACTGATGAGCGCTTGCACAGGAGGCGCAAGGAACTGCAAGGACACCCCATTATGAACGAACTGCTCCGGTGCAATCTCATCGAAAATCAACCTCTGCGTGCAAACACGCATGATTCGCTCTGAGGGTTGTCAGCTTCGACCTCACATACTAAATAGCTCGCGCTGCATACTCAGAATATCTTTCGAAGCACCCGTTGCCTCTACAATCTGGTCGAGAGACGTGGGTTCAGGACCAGGGACAATGATCTCGTGGATCCCCATGTCCAGAACCGCACCGACGCACGCTGGATCGAGGAAGGCCATATTCTGGAACATGAGCCATTGAACCGGGCCCTGGACCAGTGCCATGAGCCGTTCGCAGAGGCGAAGAATCTTTAACCGGGCCAGCTGCGCGCCCTCATCTTGGATGATCTCCGGAAATGGGTTGTCTAGGTTGGGTCGTTCGGCGCCGATTGTGTCCAGCCTTCCGATGAACGTTTCTACCGTGCTGGAGATGTTGACGGCTAGCTCGTACAGGTCGTTCGTACGGTTAGACTTGGGCTCTTGCTGTGTGGACATGGCGTACGACAGGGCTATCGATCTGTTACAATTCTTGATGATGATGATGATGTCTCTGCTACCGGACTTCTATTGAAGACGTAAGAACCTAAGCTAACTTTTTTATATGCTATGGAGGCATACTGCGCTATTCGCAGATTATCTGCAAGTATAGTCAGAGTAGTCATCTCAATTCCTACTTTATTCTGATAATATCTTCAATGTCAGCTCTGTTGCAGTTACTCCTACAAGACCTAAGGCTGACTTGGCTGATTAGTATACGTACACGCCGCGCTGACACACTGGACTAGCTACAGTCAGCATGCTCGTACTCATACTCCGCTGACACAGTAAACATGAATAATTTTCGAATGACATATCTACGAATCTGATAGCACACCCCATCAAGTAACAGTAACAATCACCCCTGTAGAATCAAACCCTCAATTCAGCTAACCAGCTCAACCCATCAAAATCTCGGCGTAAATTGCAGCTCCCTACCAAAACCAGTCAGCTACACCCCCCAAACAATCACACACACAAACTCACCTCCGAAACTGCATAGCCCCAGCCGTCAACATCCCACCCACAATCAACTTCGGTATTCCGGGCGGGAAAATCGCCCGTTCCTTGGGCTCCAACCCCCGAAGAAGATACACAGCCGTCCACAAATGCCCATACACCTTGACATCAGCTCTCCGTCTTTCCTCCTGCTTCTTCTCTAGACCACGAATAGTCTCAATAGGCACCTGCCGTCCTAACTGGTTAACAAGCTCCTCTTCGAAATCATACTGCTTGTCAGTCAGCTCGTGCAGCTCAGCAAAACCAGCTGCTATTTCCGTAAGTAGGAGCTCATTCTGCTCGGCGGTGGCAGCAGCTAGATGAGCCTCCAGCGCGGTGATTTTCTGATACAGGGCATCGTGTGCGTCCTTTTGTGCTAGGAAGCGGGGGTCGTGTTCTGCGAACACGGGGAACCAGATCTCGTCGACGGAGGTGAGTTGGTCGAGGAGGACGTGGAGGGTGTACTTTGCGTAGGTGGTGAAGGCGTCGATGTTTGCTGGTTGCACTGTGGTGGCATGTTCTGCGCAGGCCTTGAGATTGCGGCGGATGACGTTGTGGATGGCGAAGAGGGCCAGGCTGGAGGAGACTGTTTCGTTTAGTATCTTGTTTGTTAGAGATAGACTGGACGTACCGTGGGGATCTTTGAGATCGAGATCCTCTGCTGAGAGACGGTCTTTGTGCATGTGTAGAGCTTCCGTTGCCATTGTGCTAGACTTAGAATTGGTAGTGGAGCGATATTTCTTGCTTAGGGCTTGCTGTTCGTCAGTTCATCACTTCGTCAGCTTCGAGGTCATATATGATTTCGGTAGTCGTTGCGATGACATCAGCTCGGATTTGCTGACTTGGGATGCATACGCTACTACACTCATCACTCATCAACTGAGTACGAGCAGCCAGGCGAGTCTTAGGTCATGACTTGTACGCGGGAATGCCTTTTGCCAAATCGTGCATACAAGAGAAAGCCAGGCCGCCATCACTCATCCATCACTCAATTCACGCTACCCAGGAGTCAAAGACATCCAAATCTAAGATGATTCTCTACTATCTCGCGGCAATACCCCTCACCTTCATCCTCTACCTAGCATGGTACCTCCACGTCCCCTGGGACCTGCCCTCACTCCCCAGAATCCCCTTCTACGTCTCCATCCTCGGTCTCTGGAGCTCAATGGGCCAAGACGAGATCTACGAGCGCTGGCTGCGCAAACCCCTCGAATCCCACGGCGCCGTGCTAATCTGGTTCGCTGGCCGGTGGAGCATCCTCGTCACCCGCCCAGACCTGCTAACAGATATGTTCCGCAACGAGGACCTCTACGCCAAAGCAGGCAGCCAGAAGAAGATCCCCTGGTCGGTGATCGCGACGCTAGTCGGCGACAACATCATCAATTCGCACGGCGACACCTGGAAGCTGTACACGGGGATCATGAAGCCCGGGCTGCAGAAGAAGAACTTCGACACCGCGCCGCTGCTGCTCAAGTCGCGGCGCTTCGTGGATGAGATCCTCGCGGAGCAGGCCGCCGCCGGTCGTGGTGCGGGCATTCTTGTCAATACGTATGTCCAGCAGTGGGCGGTGGATGTCATGGGGATGAGCTTTTTGGATCTGGACCTGCGGAGCCTGGAGAAGCCGCACGGCGCGGTGCGCCTTGAGGCCATCCAGTCCGTGATCAAGCTGATGCTGTTCCGGCCGCTGTTCTTTAATTTTCCCGATTTGGACAAGTTCGCGTGGCTTATCAAGTCGCGGCAGCGCGCGTACGAGATCATGCACGAGTTCGGGGATACACTCATGGCGACGGTGCTGGGGCACATCGATCACGACCGCGCGAAGGGTATCAAGCCTGCCGAGGAGATGGTCGTGCATATGCTTGTCGACGCCTACCGCGATGGCAGACTGACCGAGAAGCAGTTCAAGGATAATCTCAAGATTGTGTTTCTGACGGCGCACGAGAACGCCCAGCAGCTGATTAACTCGATGTTTTGGGAGATTGGGAAGAATAAGGAAGTCCAAACCCGCCTCCGCGCGGAAATCCTCTCAACAAACACCACAACCCCAACCTCCGAAGTCGTCAACGCCCTCCCCTGTCTCACAGCCGTCGTCTACGAGCTCCTCCGCCTCTACCCTCCCGTCTCACAGCTCATCAACCGCGTCACGCTGCGCCCCGCCATGCTCGGCAACGAGATCCCGATTCCCGCAGGTACCTTTGTCGGCTGGAATGCGTACGGGGTGCACGTCAACCCGGCGATCTGGGGCCCCGACGCAAACGAATTCAAGCCGGAGCGATGGGGCCGCACGGTGGGTGAGATGCATGCGCGGTTTCGGCGGGAGACGGTCCGCGGCACGTATATACCCTTCAATGCGCATTCGCGGAAGTGCCTTGGGCAAGGGTTTGTGTTGCTGCAGATGAAGATTCTGCTGTTTGAGTTGCTGAGACGGATCGAATGGAGGGTGGACCCGGGGTATCGGTTGAAGATGACGCCGGTAAGTCTCTTGAACCCGCATAAGACAAGAGGCAGAGTACTGATGCATGACAGGGCGGAATTCTAGCGCCTTTGGGATGCCGGGTGATTCTGAGTGAGGTCAAAGAGAGCGAGACGGAGCAAAGGATCCAATAGACACAAGGATTCAGGTGAAAGCATAGATTAGGTATAAGATAAGAATGATATACAAGCATCTGCATACGGCTAGCTGAAACCATGGTATCGTAACGCATCAAGTTTTACTTTTGCGATCACACGCTCTGTCGAGGTCCCGTCAACGCAAACAACCCCAACGGCTTGGTGCTGAAAGCCCCGTTGTAATTGACTCCTCCAACTGCCGTCTTGTAATTCTTATCCGCCAGCTGAAAGTCCACGTCCTTCAAGATCGTGACCAGGATCATAAATGACCATTCCCAGGCGTAGCGCTTGCCAAAGCACTCACGCTTGCCATTGCCAAAACCCTTCTTCACACCGGACGGAAGCTGGTCGTACTTCTCGCCGACCATGCGCTCGGGTTTGAACGCATTCGGCTCCTCGAAGACCTCCGGGTCGCGGTTGACGGCCGCCAGCAGCGCAATGAGCGGTTGCTTGTTGGGGACCTGGTACTCGCCGCCGGCGAGGAGGACGGGCTCCTCCTGTCCTGGAATGGGCTCGATGTTGAAGCCTGGCGCGGTAGCCGACAGGCGCAGCGATTCACGCAGGATGGCTTCGCAGTAAGGCAGGCTGGCGAGATGCTCATGTTCGAGCTGCGCGGTCGGGCCGCCGACCACGGCATCGATCTCCTCGCGGGCGCGGGCGATTTCGTGCGGGTTCTTCATGAGATAATACAACGCAAAGGAGACAAGGTTGGCGGCCGTGGCGCTTCCAATGAAGATGTTGATGATCTCGTCCAGGTGCTGGCTGTCCGTGAGGGCTTTGCCAGTCTGCGGGTCCTTGCCGTGCATAATGGCATAAAGCATGTCCTTCTTCTCGGTCGAAGAGGCGCGACGCTTAGCCACGATCTCGGCGGCGTAGTCGCGCATCGTCTTGATGTAGCTGTCGAAGCGACGCTGGTAGATGAGCCATTTCAATACCCTGGGTCGGGTGGGCCGACGCAGGGCTTCGAACGTGGCAGCCTCCATGGCCTTGAGGACCGAGGGCTCTGGCCCCTCGAGGCAGTGGATCCGCTGATCGAAGAAGCAGAGCATGTTGGCGGCGTGGTTCAGACGGTCCATATCATCGCTGACGTTGATCCGCTGCCGGGGGCCCGCAGTCCATTTTTTAATCAGATCTGTGGCGGTCTCACGCATCCCAGCAAAAGCTTCGACCACGGCCTCTGGCGTCATCAAAGGGGCCATGATCCGGTGGGCAATCCCCCAGCTTTGCTCATTGGGGTACGCGGTAAACAGACTGTCGTGGACTGCCTCACGGATCTCGACAATGGGGCCGGTCACACATTTCTGAAACCGTCTCTCATCGCAGATCTCCTCGAGCAGTTTTGCGCTGGTGATGAAGACAATGTCGTGGCCAAGGATGGTGACTTTGAAAATTGGGTCTGTTGAAGAAAAGGGTTAGTAGTGTTCGTGGTGATTGCTGCCAACTGGCGCGCAACCGGTAACTGCACGAGAAACACACAAAAATTCTTATTATTCACCGCTAGTTTATTGAAAGAACCCCAAGTATTGCCAGGGCTAATAGAAAGCACGTTTCCCAGGATCGGGAGACCTGACGGGCGAGGAATCGGAGTCGGCATATTGGTCGCCAGGTATACTTCTCACTTAAAGACGACTCCCAAAGACAAGTGAAAAGGGAAACGCGAACCATGCAGGAAAGGAAAACTGCGACTTAAATTCACTACACTATCCCCCGATATGACGGCAGATTCCTTTGCACCTGCTAGCTTGTTTGTGTAACCCATCTCCAGCTGAGCTCGCCCTGCAGAGCTGCATTACAATGCTGGCKGTGATTGGTCTTTTCAGCTGTGAATGCAGATCTGGATCGCGCTGATCCTTCGATAGTGGGAGGGTTCTGCCGCTTTTGGGCCCTTGGAGACTCCACCTCGTCTTCTCCAGAACTCCTACTGGATAGACTGGTCTGCTGCACGGATCATGGTTCGTCACGGGCGCTGGCTCCTCGCTTTTGGAGCAGCCATTCAGAATGGATGGATTGTCATAGCGGACTGGTGTTTGTTGACAAGTGACATCGGAGAGACAACGAGGAGAAGCAAGGGGAAAGTCGGGTGGCTGGGCCGCCAGCTTTAGAGAGGTATGTATGGCTTGATAAAATATGGAGATACTTTGATAAGATTATATCCGACAAAATGGAGATTGACAGTCTGACAGCGATGACTTGATGGTCAACCACGGTTCTGTTGGAGATAAAGTCGCGATGGAGTGCAGGAGGGGAGGGTCAATGAAGGAACGGGCTGCCGCTACGTGGGCCACTCCTAGTAGTCTACCAAGTAATGCCTCAGGTGCATATTTAGCGTGTCCACCACGGCAGACATCTTCATTCTCTGTGGTCTGCATGAAAAATGGGGGGAAATGATCTATTTGGTATCGTCGAGAAACAAAAATGACTCCAATCCAACCAGTTGTTTATTTCGTACGCCAAAACTCCTTGCTGCTATGTTTCCCAGCCCCGTAAGCTCTCCAGCATCCAAAGAACCAAAGGTTATGGTTGATATGAGTTGGCAGCGGTAAAGTCAAACATTCGTTGACTCTCCAACAACACAAATGATTCGTATCGTAGACCTCGTTCAGTCGCGTACGGGTCGGATCCCTTGGTGATGGTGCTGTTCCACACACTCTCGTACCCGTCCAAGAGATGCCGCCAATAACACGCCTCGGCAGCTTTGGTCAGGTATCGTTCGCGAAACGTCTTGACGCTATTGTTGGCAATGCGGTGCGCGACGCTGGTGTCCTGCATGAGCGGCTCCAGTTTAGCAGCCAAATCGCTAAAGTCGCGCTCGACTTCCACGTAGTTCTGGTTCGGTCCATCAGCTGCAAGGAGATAATGATGATGCTGTATGTATTGTAGCTTATGCGCCACKATGACGGACTTGCAGGCCTGGCGGTATTTCAGGGAAGCTGAGTATGAGCGACCTGGAGCAGTAATTCAGCTATCATCCACACCCAGTAAAAAAGAACCAAGAAGACTTACCCTCCACGTGCGCGATAAACATATACTGGCAGTGATCCTCCATACTCAAGACATTGGTCCGATCCGGCCAGCTGACTTGCTTGACATCGCCCCAAGGTTGGTCCCGAGCGGCTTCGATCAAGGCCCGTCGCAGCTTGGGTGCAAAACTTGGCTTACCACGCCAAACCAGCTGCTGCTTCTTCTCTTCCCACGGGATATCGGCCCGCTGGATTTTCGCAACCACTTGGTCGAACGGTCCGATCGCATTATCCGGATTGTCCCAGGCCCAGTAGCCAAAGTCAGGCATCAGCCAAACCGCCTCCTCGTTCGCCGCACGAGCCAGAACCCAAACCGGATGCTCGGCGCTAGTCACATCCTCCACCTTATCCTCCACCGAGAAGACGAACTCGATGTCGCGACGGGTACTCCGTGCAGAATCGGCGACCAGCGCACGATGAATGGCACTGAGCACGGCCAGGATCTTTCGTCGGTGGTCCTCACCCTTTGATCGGGCTGCGACCACATACAGCTCCCCGCGGAGAATGGCCGCTCTTGCCATGCCGGGTTCCAGTCTGATCCGATCGAGATCCTCTGCAGCGAGAGCGCCGTGCGAGCGCCAGTAAGTCACCGCGCGAAAGACGTCTTCGTACAGACCAGGGAAAGCAGCATCGCACTGCTGCCGGTTGAGGCCCTCGTTGCTTCCATCCCGCTCATACTCGAATACCCAATGCGCCGATGGAGTCAAGTGTGTGCTCAGGCTGGGCTTGGAGCACGACAGACAGCTGGCGCATTGGAAGGTGGTCGAGCTCTCGCAGGCGCAGTGACCGGCGGGGATCAATTGCGTGAGGAGTGGGTGTATATAATCTCTGTCTGTATTCATGCCGTACCACATGGCTACAATAAAGCCCACGCTCAGAGCACCGATGACGTAAAGCAGGCAGAGGAGGATCCCCTGCCGCGGACGCAGGAGAGAACAACTGGGGAGCGCCATCGCCGATGGGAGCAGGACGAGGACGATTCAATTCAGAGGGCGCGTTTCATCATAGGTTCGTTGGTCGCCAGTCGCAAGTCACAATCGCAGCAGGCAGAAGAGGACTAAAAGCGAGGGGAAGGAGTTCCTCAAATGAGGAAAGAGGCAGCACCAGACTCGCTGGGAGCTCCTGTCTGGGGCGCATCCTTTTTGGGGCTAGAGAAAGGAGATTTCCTTCCAACGGCCCCATGGCCCCAGACTAATAACGTTGCTTATTATTAGCGGAGGTCATTGCCATGATTTTGGCCCTATGGGTCTCATAACGCAGCCTCAATGGAGAGTTGGAGACTATGACGAGTGACGACTCACTCTGGTCGCTTGGCACCTTAGAGGTCTGAAATCCAATTATGAAACAGCCACCGCAGGAACAAATACCTAATCTTTCCATGAGCGACAATGATGGACAAGCTCGTGGGTCAACTGTTGCTGGTTATGGCTCTCAGTGGTTGGACGGACAGCGGTCGACTCCATCCATCCCAAATGTTATTTGTTCCTCGACCATTCAGAGCATCGCACAGGGGCCTAAAGTGAAGAAGGTGCGTACGTAAACGCTCAAGGTTATGGAGTAGTGCCCACTATCAACTGCCATGGCGGACGGAGTTGTTGGACTCGCGTCTCGGTGTTGGTCCATCTTGCTGAAAAAGACAAGGCTCTTCGCTATGAACTCAGAAGTGGCTGTGTGCAGACAGCAATTCAAAATTGATCCTGTTAGCTCCATATGGCCAAATGAACGGGTCTTGGAATACCATACCATGATAGATAGTCTCCACCCAGAAATAGAATAGACGGCTGCCAAGCTGCAGTGGAGTCAGACCGTGTTGATCCTGCGGTGATCGCAATTTGCTGGTGACATTAAGGCTGATGAGTATCATTCTATGACAAAGATTTGAACCTGAAATCAAGCACTTGAGAACTCTTATCAGGGAATTAGCCTATGTTTTCTCTGAGATACATCTTATTATTGTTGTGTTACTTCACAGCAATAGATTGTAGGGTAAAGGGGCAGAGTAGAAGCGCCCGAGAGGCTGAAATCTGAAACAATAATGCGGCGGTTCGTTCCGTCCACATTTAAAAGGAGCCTATTTAAAACTACTCATAGGATCCTAACAGGGATGATACAGAGAATGTGGCAAATGTACGTATCTCAGGTCTAGGCTGTGAAGTTCAGGAAAGGAGTGACGCTAGTCGATATAAATCGTCTCGATGAGACAGCTGCGCACATGACTCCATTGGGGATGGTAATTCTAGAGAGAGAAGATACCAAGAATGGAGAGAAGCTGACATGTACAAACAGCACTACAGAAAACGGAAAAAGGAATGTCACGTCAATCTCCATCAAGCAATCTAATGACCAATGGAACCAAAAGGAAACCTTGGGTATATCCATCAAAACGCCCAGTTGCAATGCACCCAAACTCATCCCACCATCTATCAACCATGCTCATGTATGATCTCGAACCGCTCTGTTCCCTCGATTACGAGCTCCCGCCGGCCCAGGGGTCTCAGTGGCCTCAGTGTCGGGACTGAAATCAAGTCGTCGTCTTCCTCGCCCGCCGCGAACACGACTCATGGCGTGTCGCAGTAGCCCATCTGCCTCGTCATCTAGCTCCATCTCCACCTTTTGTTCCAATGTCTCCGTTGCAGGGCCCGTGGGTGGGACACCAGCTTGAGGGACTTCATCCGTCCACTCTTCCTCCGTCATGCCTCGCCGTCTGGATGCCTTTCCCTTGCCCTTGTCGCGCGAACGAGTCGAACTGCGGCTGGTGGTCACTCGCTCAAGATTTTCTGGTGATGCAGACTCCCCCTCATGACCTTCCAGAGCCCAGATCTCTAAAGCACGGGAGAGAAGTGTACCAGCAATACCCGCACCGCCAGCCGCATCCCCGCCTCCACTCGCCCCAAGGACGCGAACGGCTTCATGAAGAGCTGTTACCGCCTCCATTGTCCGTCCAAGTTCCAACAGAATAAGGCCACGCGAAGTATGAAGTGATCCGATCAAGCCACGATCTTCGTAGCCTCCAACACCTGACGACGCAACACCCGAGGCGCTGCTGCCACTGCCGCCCAAAAACGGACCGTAGGCGACGCCCGCCCCGCCTGCACCGATCCGAAGGCATTCGTCGAATTCAGCAAGCGCCTCGGTTAGTCGTCCGATACGGCGCAGTGCGTGACCCAAATTCGCCCGTGTTGCCACCCACGCACCCGGCTCACAATGAAGTGCCGTCGCTAGAGTCAGGGATTGATTGAATAGCTCTACAGCACCCTCGAGATGGTTCTGGTGGTATAGTACCACACCGAGTTCGTTGAGAACCAGCGGGTCACCGCCATGGGCGTCCCCGGAAGGGTTAGCCGGAATGGATGGCACCGTGCCGGCAGCCGCACCCGTGGACATTGCGTAGGCTGCAGACAGGTACTCGTGCGCCAAGGACATGTTGTTCAGGGCTAAATGCTGCATACCAAGGAACAGCTGCGGTAAGTGGCTGCCTTGGAACAGCCGAGCGGCCGTGCTATAAGCGGCTATAGCTTGATCATGCTCTCCTTCAGCCGCAAAAGTATGCGCAAACCCAATCCACGCGGGTGCC